GCCAAACGAAACGAGAAGCTTCACTGGGTGGGAAAAACACCGGAGCTACCGGTGTGATAAATCACTCTCGATTCTCCGCAGCGGTGGATCTTTTTAGGGGTTCTTGTTAGCCCGAGCTCGTCGCTCACCCGAGTTATAACCTGAAACTACCCCCTATCCACCCACCGAGATGAGATGCGATTCTTTCTGCTGCGACAAAACATTACAAGATCCCCAGGTGATGTCTCCGAGCTAATCTTCTTTGAGTAATAATCCCAACGAACGTATTCTTGTTCTTTCATTTTCCACGGAAACAAGACGGCAATCATAAGAAGTCGTATTAAAATGCCGGAATTTGACAGTTGGAGGTAAAGAAATTCTGAAATGTACATTTCACTAAATGGAGAAAGATGGAAGTAAAAAATAATGTTTTAATGAATTAGAATTATATACCCATTATTTTTTCGCAATTATCGATTTGTTATTAGAAATTTAGTTGTCACACTTTGAAGGCTCTAACTTTAACCGCAGTATTCCATTTGCTCGCGTGAGTTAGAAATGGCGTGTTTACCGAGATATTTTTTATCACCCAATAATTCGCCATCACCGGTACATAAATACCTAGCGAAACGAGTTATCTACTGGTGTATTACGAAATCCCCTTGATTGGTGAATTTAAAGGACTCTCGGATTAAAGAAAATAATGCGTATTAGGCAATGCGTGGTGATAGAGGGAGGTATCGAACGGGGCTATCAGCTATTGGTTCATATCCAATAAGTACTGATATATATCCACACACTCTCACCACTGGAGATACCGTCACATGGGTAAAAACGTTTAATTTTCTCGGGGATTAAGTAACCACTCGTACTCGTTACGTACACACACGGTTGGTATTAACGGTTTAATTAGCGTAAGTTTTCATCTGCGGCATTTACACCGGCGTGAAGGAGAAAAAGAGGAGGTCAGTGTTGCACACCGAAAGTTAAAAGAAGAAACACGAGGGATTGAGAATAGTCGGTAAAAACTCACCGGACGTTTCTCACTTCTCGTAAATTGTCTCGGCTTATTAATACTTAGGTGTGGATTAGGTGGAAATTAAAGCTCACAATCATCTAATGGTGTATCACGTGAGGTATTTTTCTCAACCGCATTCTCGAGGGAAACGTGGGAATCCGGAGAAATATGTATTCAGGCAGATCTTTTTCAGTTAAACGAAAAAGAAGAATTCACCACTAGGAGTAAAACGCATATCAGATGCGCCCAATGTATTATTGGAAAGACTCTAAAGGCAAAAGCGAGTATTTCATATGCCAGGTGCGCCCCGAAAAATTCTCACAAAAATGGAGGAGATGGAAATAATTTACCGGTTACGAATTCACAGGCGTCTTGTTCCAAGATTTTTCCATTATCGGAAATGTAAGAGAGACATGTATTTTCGAATCGGACATTGAAATACTGAATAAAATACTGGCGGAATAATAATGTTCTCTCCCTCGATATTACAATCAAGTGCAAACTGAGACAATTCGATTACAGATTCTATTGAAATAATTCTCGATTCAGCGCTTGTGCTTCTGATAAAAAAAAAGACGAAAAAAAAAAATTCTCAAGACCTTTATCCACCCTGAAGGATTCGATTTGCGTCTCCGGCCATTATCGCCAATTTTCGGCGATTCAGTTGTGTTAGAATTGAGATAGCACGTCACGGCCGATCGGGCAGCATAAATCGGTGGCACAGATGAGGAAAAGTGAGACGAATCCCTCCGTTCCTCACCGAATTGAAGGAGGACGAACGACTGAAAAAACGACAATCCCTCGGAAAAGATAAAAAATGTACAAAAGAATGGTCCAATAACGACGTCACGTTCGCTACGTCCGATGGTAGACGTGCTCGCGACACCAAACTCAAGTTGGATAGCCGATGGAAGACGAGAGGAGGGAAAAAAAAAAGATGAACGGGGTGGAGCGAGAGTGAAAAAACCATTGGTTGGGAGGGGGCATCGAAAATGAGAGGAAAAAAAAATCATGGAGAGGGTGGAGGGTGAGTGAGATGGAGTAACTGGGGGTCCTCTCGAACTATTTATTCCGGCACAAATCGCATTACCAACTCCAACTGCAAAATCGACTTCACCAACTTTTACGGCGCCTTTGCCCTTGCACCCCACCACGTACTCTCTCTCTCTCTCTCTTTCTCTTTTACTGTTCCTCCTCACCCTGCGCCTTCTAACTTCGACTTGTACGAGGGGTTTACCAAACTCAGTTTAAGAAGAACTGTTTCCACCCGTTGAAGAGAGAAAGGGTAAAATGCTCGCCCCGTCGTCTCAGGGCGAGCGCGTGCGTCTCGAAACTACTCGGCCAAATCGGGCTATACCCTTTCAACCCCCTTTCAACCCCCTACTATTGCTATCGTTCTTTACACAGTATGACAGGAGTGATTTCAAAGTTCGATTCATCCACGAATAACGAACGTGCGACTCGAAAAGTTTCACCTTTTCAACCGCGAAAGGAGCATCGAGTTTTCAATTGAGTGGAGAAAGCAAGATTGATGAATTCCCTTTTTTTTTCGCGAAACATTCACTGGCTCTTTCATTACTCCGGAGCCTAAAAGAAAGAATATTTTATATGCCACACGAGTCGTAATTTTTCCTGCAATTCTCTTTAAAGTCTGACAAGCGGCGGTCGTTTCCACTAGCCCGCGGCGAGAGTCGTCATGGCTGGCTATTCCATTACTAATTAGCTTGAGGTTTTTCTCCTCTCTTTTTATCCCCTTTTTATCCACCAAAATCCTGAGTATCCATATTGCAATTACATTGCATATACAGAATAGAATAGAACTAACGAGCAATCATAACCAATGTAGGCAGACCATTGCCAGATTACGAGGGGAATAATACACGGAAATGTTATTAACGAGTAATGAGCACTGCGGGTTACCGATGGTTTTATACCAGTTCTATTTCTTCCATCGGGTTTTTCCCGACTTATTATTCCGTCGGTTTTATTTTTCTTCTATTCAAATATCACAGAATTGATTTAATGTGTATCGGTTTCAAACAACCTTGATATTGCGTGTACAATACCAAACCAGCGAACCATATCATCGCAGTTCTCGAATAAATAAGACACGAGGAATGATCACCATCTGCGCACGAAGTCGAATGACGCAATGAGAATTACCCACTTGCAATCTCAAATAATTTGCTATAGGAAATGAGAAGCTGTAATTTACGAATAATTTTGTGATATCGGCAATTGACATTTTCACTGGAAATTTTCTCAAGGAGTAATTCGCCTTCCAAAAATAATCACCGGATATTCATTAGAAATTAACTCGTCCCACAATCCATAACAGATATATGTGGTTAACGCGAACACAATAGCCTCCGAAGTCAACTGCTTGAACAGCTTGCATTAAAATCGAAATTAGCTAACCATTTGTCTTCTTGGGTTCAGTTTAATCGCGACTTTCTACAGTGGGTGATTTATCATCCAGCAGGACTAACTTCTCCAGAGAGAGTTTGAGCTGAAACCACACATACCACGGCTCACCCTCATGTAAGGGCGGCCCAGGCGTAATTTCTCTTGCGCAATATTCCTCATCCATAGCCGAGGTACGAAAAAAAAAGTAGATAAAAAGAAAACAATTAAATTCCTTAGCAGCGAGTGATGAAAAGCGAGAAGCCCCAGTTATGGTCGCGTTGCGTGCTCACCGTAATAACTGTGGGAAATCACCTCTCTCACCGCGCCAACAAACCGCCCATGAGTTCCGCCTCACTCAGTACCGCATGTGCTCATGTGATTACTGTTTTCTTTTTCCCACTCGTTTTTTTTTTTCACTCCTTGCACTGTCTAGCCGGTTCTCGCGTCGCCTCGCGCACTTGCCATTCGCGGTGCATTATTCCGGGTTTTTTTTTAACATTCAATGTCTATTACACCGCGCTAACAATAAAAATGCACATTCTAAACGGAAATTGTTTACATACGAGCTGTTATGAATTTCCCAGTGTTGTTAGTTTCTTTGTTTCGATGGTTTTTTATGTATTAGTTCTCCTGGTTCCTTGCAAAATTATATTATTTATCGTTACATTATTGAAATGTATGCAATTTTCAATTTTTCAATTTTTTCGGTCTGGATGTTTGTGACTTTAAAATTATTAATGACGTTGCGCCACTGATAACCACTATATCGATTCGGATATGTGAGAAATCGAGCGTGTCAGATCAATAAGAGAGCGGAATTTCGAAGGTGTGTACGAACCTCAATATGTTCGGTATCGTTAGTGGGTCACTCTACCGAAACGACAGTCTCGTTGAGTTCTACTATGTTTCAATGCGCAACAAGCATATAATAGCTGAAAAATAGACTGATACGATTATTCACGGTCGTCGATCGTGCGCTCGGGAGGTGGGACGATAGATAGTTCAGTAAACACGAGAATCCATCGTTATTCAATGAGTTGAAGGCCTACAGCGTTCATCAAATAATATGTCAACAATCTCACTAGAGTTGTGCAATTCAATAATTTGCAATTCAACCTCATGATTTATTACATTATTTTCAAATGAAATACTCATCTCATGAGCTAGTTAAAACGATTTTTTCCTTCGCGAATTAGTCCGCCGTTATCACTCCACCTCATCTCTGAAATATTATGATTCTCCATTGTCCGATTATCCAAAGAGTCGCCTCAATTACTCCCGATAAAAATCTTAATTCTCAGAAAAGAATATTAATATGCCAACGCGTTTGGTGCATAAGCAATTAACGATCCACGTCCATTCCGAGTTATCCTTGTAACGTAATTTGAAATGAGAACGAATCCTTGGGGTTTTTAAATATGAAATTTATGGGGAAGGTTATCGTTCCAAATACTACCTTTTTCCCATCGTAAATGTGCAAAAAAACATGACTAGTCGAGTTTGATTGAAGGCTCGCAATTTGACATTTACATAATGAGAAAGTGACTAAAAAGAGGGAAGTGGAGGGAGTGCGCGTGGTCCAGGTTGTAAAGCTAGTGGGGATACGATCAGTAGTGGTAGTCGTCTTGTTTAGGACTATCCTAGTGAGTCTGTTAAAAAAATTCTCATGCAGTAGAGTTGCGTTCGTCTGTGACATAGCACATCGACAAAGTCAGTGAGAAGAATAAATAAAAATGAAGTCACTGGTAAATAAAATAATAATGCTGATCGGATTGGTGGGTGCAGTGAAAGGTGGAGGTTTGGGTGTCCTCTATGAGTGGAAATATTTGGATTGGGTATGGCCAAATACAGCGCTCACCGGTAAAAACTACAGCCCGGAAAATCCTTTCACCCAGGATGTCGATGTGGACGTCAGCGGTCGTGTTTTTGTAACCAGTCCCCAATGGTTGGAGGGTACACCAATAACCCTGTCGTTGGTAACCAATCTTCAGGGCCCTGGGGGTCCTCTACTCACCCCCTACCCCCACTGGTCCTGGCATACGCCCAACGATTGCGACAAACTCATTTCTGTTTACAGACTAGCGGTAAACGATACACATTATCTTGAATAACTTTGATTAAACGATTGCAATAACTGCAATCATTGCAATAATCTTGAATTTAATGCAGATTGACGAGTGCAACAGATTGTGGTTTGTGGATGTTGGTCGGGTGCAGGACAAACCGATATGCCCAACAAAAATTATGATCTTCGATCTCTTCACGGATCGTCTAATCCACAAATACATTGTACCACCTGATCAAACATTCAACGGTAAGGCCTCTCTGGTTACGCCGATTGTTGAACTCGGCGATACCTGCGAAGACGCTTATCTCTACATCGCTGATGTTGCCGAAAATGGTCTTGTGATTTACAACCTCCGTCAGGATCGATCCTGGAGGTTGAATAATACACGCGGTAATGCATTCGGTCCTGATCCCGATGGCATGAATATAACAATCGCTGGGGAATCGTTTGATCTCACTGATGGCACCCTAGGAATGTCCCTATCACCCCCTGGATTTTTCAAACAAAGGTAGAAGATGATTAAATTTTTTTTCAACTCCTCCCACCACTTGGTTTTCATTTTATTGTCCTCCGGAGCTCCGCTATTTCTCATTTATCCCCGGAAATTCATTCCAATAATAGCTATATGCATATCCATATCTGTTGATGGATTCCATCAAAAATTGATTGCTCGAAAATTCAGTTGGCCGGGGAAAAAAAGAGAGGAAGAAAAAAAAATGGAAAAAACAATAAAAAAAAAGTATTCTCCATTAACTTTTTCCAGATATCTCTACTTTAATTCACTGGCGAGTTATCGTCAGAAGTTCGCCAGTGTTGATACATTGAAGATGAGCGAGTTTCAAGAGCCATTGATCTTCGAGTCTATCCTGAAGAGACAGAGCCAAGCTGGAGTTCAGGCGACATCTCGAAAAGGTGTTCTATTCTTTCAACTGGCTCATCTCACGGCAATAGCCTGTTGGAACATAGAGCGTCCATTCACTCAAGACAATATTGAGATTCTTGCTTTTGATGAGGATGCCCTCCAGTATGTCAGTGGTATAAAAGTCATCACTAATTACGAAGGGGAGGAGGAGCTCTGGTTCAATACCAATAGACTCCAAAAGACCATAAAAATGACACGAACACCTACTGAAGTCAACTTCCGGGTGATTATGGGCGCGGTGGACGACATCATCAACGGAACTAGGTGTGAACCAAGAGGCCACGGCCCTTATCCTGACGTATCAACGTGGCGACGGATATAAACTATTTTCTCCCGTTCTTAAGTTATTTCTCTATTATTTCGTATAATTATATTACACGTACGCATTACTCTTCCGTCTGGATTATTCCCGTGAATACATTAATGTAATTAGAGATGGAAATATTTGAGATAAAAAACAGTCAAATTTATTGACAGCGCAGTAATTTTCAGATAGGACAGCCTATCCTCGAAGGATTCGTTCAAAATGCACAAGCTTTTGCTAAAATTTAAAACAAAACAATAAAAAAAAATTCCCAACAGTGTAGTACACCTCACACGCAGTGAGTAACGAGAGACAATCGTCCAACATAGAGGGATTTAGAGAGAGCGAGATTGCTGGCAGTGACAGGAGGTATGTAGCAATTTAGTTAACCGTTTCATTGCTGGCTTTTGAAATGTAACGATGAAGGCTGTACCTGACAGGCCCGTCGCCCCAGACTCGAATGTTTTGGAAAGCCCTTCCATTCCTCTCCCTGATCTCCATCCAAATAGGAATCATGGTGGGATAATTCCGAGGATCTAATCATGACAGTTACGAAACTTGTGGGAAACCCAGAAAATTCACGAGAAGAAATTCAGCAGTCGTTATATTTTCGTCGTTTCCCTGATGTGCGTGGGAGTTTGGACGGTGTAAATACGCCATTTCGGATTCGAAGGCGATTTCATGGGCTCGCATGGATGGGTGGAGAGTGGAGGGTGGATGGGAAAGTGGCAGTATGGGTTAGTATCTGGATAATATCCCCGGCCATAAATGCTGTCGTATTATCGGCCAGCAGAGGCTCGATATCACGACGAAAATTTAAGCAAAACGGCAGTCGTGAGGTGAGTACTTGAAGAAGAACCGAGTGGGGCAATATAGTATAGACAAGGTAAATGGTGGAAAGGGGGATTGGGAGATGTCAGGGGGTTGAATGCCACGAGTGACGATAAACGGCACACACGTGCAAAAGCACGTATCCACCATCGAACTCGTAACCGTTAAGGGTTGGCACGTGGAATTACCCGGGCGATGCGATAGTAACCGGAAATGAGTCCTTTCACCCTCTCGTTCAGGCGTCTTTACTACATTTTCCTTTTGTTATCCCTCGAGAAGAAAAAAAAAAGAAAGAAAAAGAATATGAATCCTGAGTACTTCCAGTCGTTTTACGACGCGAGTGCTTCTGTAGCAACTTTACGAGTGTCCAGCATGAAAAATTCCTAAATAAATTTGCATCAGTTTTACAGCCCCTAATATACATAACTACCGGTGTTTTGGCACTGATACCACCCCTCAAAAACAAGACGAGAGATCTCCAACTGCTCCGGATTTCGTAATATACTGGGAATCCTGAGGAAAGGATGATACTACTCCAGGATACCCTTTCTCCCGCCTTTCTTTTATCCATGAAGCCCCAGAAACTATGCGGAGGAGAAAACACGACGGGTTTTCTTTTATTGCCAAGACACGTTTCGAATTCTTGAGAGTCGTTTTAAACGAATATCCAGAGTTGAATGATACGCTACGTCGGTTTTAAGATTAAATTTGAATTTTTATACTGCACATAGATTTCGGAAATAAGGCTTTCCCCAGAAGCTATTCACCGTCGAATATCATGACACAGTCTCTATACTGATTTCACATGATTTTCTCAAATTATTCGGCCGCTATGGAAATTTTCGTGAAAACCCTCATTGTAGAGCTAATTGAGAGCAATAAAAACGGTTATTACAAACATTTCGCTATCCCTTTAGATTCGAAGAGATTTCTCGAAAACACAGCTAAGAGCTCAGTCCACTTAAGCCGTTTTACCGCTTCGCTGGTGAATTAATTTTTTTATTGTTCTATTGAGCACTGCTCTCTTCCCGGTGGATTTTCAGCCCTGGAATCTCTTCCAGGACGTTGAAGAAACCCTTCAGCCTTGTATAAGACCCACCCCTGCGTACGAAAAACGGCATCAAAACACTTTTCATCGCAATTCTCATTGCGATCCCTCAATTTTAATTTCTTCCCAGAACACCACGAGTTTCATCATGATCTAGATTACACGGTGGGCACTGGGTAGCCCTAAAAAATGATGTAAAGGACCAGATACAACGGCCATGATGGTGTTCATGAAAGTTTGGTTAGCATCGTTAACCCTCGGCGAAAGAAGATGAAGCGTTGCAGGAATGGTTGTTGCGTTCTCACCGGTGGCAGTATATATGTACACATTGTGACTCACGAGGGGGATATTTCCTGGAGGTGAAATTGCAATGGGCGTCTTTATTAAAGCGACTGTATAATTCATACGCATACCCAAGCTGACAGTGTCGGGGTGGTAGGGGCACAGCTACATAAACAGAACGTGAGATTGTACTGGTAAATGCACTCGAGTGTACATCGTACATATATATATGTCGTACATATTCCACATGATCGTTTCCCTTGTCCACGGTGGTCATTCCCCGCGGCCACGTGTTTCCTCTGCGCATTGCGCTTGTCAGCGTCTCTGGTAAACGCGTAATTTACTGTCCCAGAGGTCTGTGTCTACCCTTGAAAGCATGAGGTTGCCGATGTGGAGGTGGCGAGTGTGAAGATCCTGTCGTCAACGACTGGTGGAATATAGCGACAGCGCGATAAGAGCGGAGAGTAGTGACAATTGTCAAAATACATCCGTGAATTTTCCGGAAAATCACGATAAATTCGATTTAAGGGACAAAATTGAAGACTCAGATCTGGAATACTCAGGGGAAATGTTTTAACAGTGTACAAACATTGGAACACATTCACTTCTTCAATTAAAGTGAATTATTCATGAATGCAGTTGTGAAGCGGCAAAACGGTTGAAGTTGATTTGACCGCTGTTCAGTTTTTAGTGAATATCTCGGAATTCAGTGGAGACATTGAAATCTTTGTCATAACCATTTTTATGGAGCTATTTAAAAGCTGCAGAAAAGATTATCACAATAATTTCGCTATTCCCCTTATATTCAGCAATATGTGTAAAATCAGGTAAGAGTTAAGTCCACTTGAGTGGTTTTACGGTTGTGCCATATACTGAATCCTAATCGCGCTCCTGAAACCGACGTCTGAAGGGTTCGCGAAATATGGAAGTCGACGAGTCGATAGCGAGTGTTTAATGATTTAGCCTGAATGAATAATTGGGAAGAGCTGTTACGACTGTGCCTTCAATATTATTCTGACGATAATATTCTGTTTCAGGGTGTGACGTGCGACCGGCTGGCCGGGGGCGCCGCACACCTCCTCCATCTCTTCTTCTTCTTGCCACGACCACAACACACAATGTAACAACAACTCAACCACTAAGCTCGTCCGCGTGAACCACGTTCTCAATGTACTTAATGTGGTACGTTAACATTTCAAACAAAAGAAAAAAAAACATTCCCATAATCGGTGTCTCTGAAAAGTGTCATTCCTCTGTTTGGTATATTCTTTTATTCATGTTCACTATTGATTTATGTTTACACTTGTTGTCACTGTTAACCCTTAATGTCCACGAGCCCTTGTAATTCGCTACACACATTTATCATTTATCTAAATGACAATCCATCAGCTGTTTCATCAGATCCCGCTGATCACCATCCGCGGGATCTGCTGCAACAGCTCATTCAATGACTTGTGAACATTTTATTATATCGATTAAATTGTTCGATTATGTCTTCACTGTTCGCTGAGTTTTGTTACAATGTGACATGTGGTTGGTTTAGTTTTCGTTGGTTTATCGGTGTTCGATGTTGGCTGTTGGTTGTTAGGTGTTTAGTGGTCACTCTCTGTATTGGTATCCCACACCCTTCCACATTCCCCCCCCTGAGAACTGCAAAACTCCCCCCTATCCCCGATATCTCTTCAAAACTCAATGTCTAGGAAGCGAGTCAGTGCATTTATCCCTGGAGCCGACAGAATACTGTAAGTAGAGACGAAATTCTTATTCATCTCCTCCCCGTCTTTTACCTCCAAAGTTGTGCATTAAAAATTCACCACTTTGAGGATCCACTTAGGGATACATGGGTCTCGGTGAATTTGGAAATTTCTTATTCCCGGTGTACGTGAAATTGGGGACTTTGGGAAAGGGATTGGGAATTCACATGCGGATCTCGTGCCACAGTCTCGCTTCGACGGAGTCGCTCATCCGGTGAATCGGATTCGAGCTCGCCAGCCCATTTGATTAGAGGGCTCACCTAAACTCCAGGGTATCTCCGAAAAAAAAATCCCCTACATATTGAATGCCATTACCCATATTTTTTGTCGCGTTTTCCAACTTTATTTTGATACTCGTGAAATTATCATTTGCCCGAACTTCGAAAACTTCAATTCAAATTCGCCCGGTGCACAAAATCGGAGTAATGTTTGAATCAGAAAAATGTCAACTTAATTCCAGATTTCCTCTCCCACCGAAATATTTCCGCTTGATTTCGATTTCCCCCCATTTTTCGTAGTCGATTCGAATGGCCTCAGTGGGACATATTAAAAAGTAATTGGATTTCGATCTGGGATGTTGGCGACGGTTGGAAATGCCACCCGAAAAAGCCCAGTGGGTGGAAAGAGGACATTTGGACAGATTGTCGGGTGAGAGTATAAGGGAGAGTAAAACCGAGTGGAGGGATTATCCGGCCCAGGACGAGGGGTCCGAGGATCCATAACCCCCGCGTACGTGCAGTCCTCTCGCAGACTGAAATAATGAACAGTCGTTAAATTTAATTGGCACATAATTATCGCTGGAGGATCCGGTGGAAGAGCAAGTGGTTAAAAATGTAGGTGTAACCGATCGTCATTCCACATCCGCCCTAATATCGATGGAATTTGAGGCCAACGAGAACCAAACGGAGGCAAAGAGGGCCAAAGAGTGATTCTCAGTGCCACAAGAGGGAGAAAGACGGAAATATAATCGAGGGAGATAACCGCCGCGTGCGTGCAGACGGTATCGGCTTAACGAGCCTGTGGCCCAACCGATTTCCAACTCAATGGTTAGTCTCCAATTCCCCATGTGTTTCGAAACTCCACCGAGGCCTCGATTATGAGGAAAGGGGTTCGAAAAGAGAGGGAAAATTCTCCCAGCATACCTCTCTATTATCGTCGAATCAGCGATTCCAAAGTTGAAAATGCCGAATATACGGCAAATTCCTGCCATTCACGGAGTCTCCCATCGGACATTTTTCACGGCCAAAAACTATCCGATAGCTGACCCCGTCGAATCGGAGGGGCCATTATCGCCGAGAATTGACGAAATTAATTTCAGCGCAAATCTATGGAGTAGACACAGGCACCGGGAACTATAATTAAAAGCCGTAAATACGATCGGTATAGGTATACCAGAGCTCCAGTACAGAGTTAGGAAAATGAGGTGAGAGAACCGAGAGGGGAGAGAGGAATACAGAGAGAGAGAGGGAGATATTGCGGGGAAGGCAAATTAATTTATGAATCAATTAGGGGCCGTCGGGGCTTTCGGATACACTATCGGTTTGAGTTCGGTGCCGTGTGCTGTAAATGCTGGAAATCGTCGTGTGCAGCACGGATTGTTGGACGTATTTGCTCGTTGGAGGGGGTTGTAGGGGGTTGTCGGCTGCTACGAATCTCCCCACCGTAAAACTGATATCAGAGTTTCAATAAATAAGCCAACGATACCATCTTCCATTTCGATAATTATTGTTTGGTAGCGGTGTTAATTAATTAAGGGCTACCGTGTGCCACCTACTGGTTGAAACGAGGGGGACGATAGGTGCGGCGTATTGAGTTGCTTCAGTGTACGGTATAATCGTTGCTCGTGGCACCCAAGTGTCGATCGGACAAGGCGATAAGATCCTCGGGTTACTCTCCGAACTAATTACCGGATGAAAGAGAGGTCTATCGGTGGATGCGCGATGTATCGCTCCCCGTGATTCGTGATATCGTAATTGTGCTACAGGGCTCGTATGAAACTGTCGTGAATGTAGGGGTTTGGGATTTCACCGGTATTGCAGATACTATTTACCCGTATTTTCATTAATTTCTGTTCAATTCTGCCACTGTCTCTACGCAAGAAAGGATTGTCGAAAACTGTTCATTGAATTCCCCCGATTTTGGTTTTGAAATATCAAACGAGCGGTAATTACATTAAAACTTCAGTTGAATTATACCACGAAAAATGATGGAAGTTATCATATTAATTGTAGTTTATACCCCTCAATACTAAAAGTCATTTCAACAATTCGGACATCATCAATTTGAAATCTAATACGCACTGGGTGCAACAGTATGCTGCCAACATTTCCGCTCGTCGGGTTTTCATTTTCTATTTCCCTTTGTTTTTTTTTTCGAGTTTATGTTTGGACGGAAAATTATTGGTAATGGGTATCATCGGTTTCCCCCGCGTATAGAATACGCTTTTAGTAGAGAAAGGGATATAGTAGTAACTGGCGACGTTCTTCGCATAAAAGCATCGGAAGCGAGGCATCAGGATCCCGTAAAGCCCCCTTTCGCTTCTAGTGTGTGCAATTCGGCCGTGAGCCAAGGGAAAAGTTTCATAATTTATTAATTTACCCGGCCTTTTTGGGTCAGGATCGTATCCGGTGGATAAGAGAGATGGTAGCTGTGCTGGCAGACTTCCCACAGACGAGAAATGAAATGGAGGGAAGAAAAAATGAAAATTATCTCTCGTCAACTTTTTTACGCTATTTCATATTTTCAACTTCATGAGTTATGTATGAACTATTCCGACCCGAATCATCAGTTTTTCTTTCTCCATTTCTCGTGTATAGTATTTGACAAAAATTAAATTTGCGATTTTGCCTCTAAAATTTCAGCGCCTTATCAAAATACACTCTATCCAGCTTTGTTGTTCCTGCAAGAGCGATCTTCTGGGTTATCGTTACCGCATGACAGGAATTCAATAGCCAATAGATCCGCGGATACATACATGAATTGGGAGAATGCATTGGATATGAGGGCGAGGGTTGGAAAAGAATGGAAAAAGCCTTGAAACGTGACGGCATATGAGCCGTTACATAGCCCCGGGTGAATTTCTGAATTTCAAATTTCTACAGATACTCTACCCAATTTTTTCACCATCAAAAACTGCTGGGAAAACTCACTCCCGCATATCAAATGTTATTCCACAACATTTGAAAATTCAGCATTCTGACGTAACATATTCCACAATCAAAACTTATTCCAATACACGATCTTCCACCGTGGAATGGTGTATAACGCCAATTATATTTTCCGCCTAAGGGTGTATACATATATCCTATCGTGGAATCGAAATGGGTGTAGACGGAAATGATGCAGCAGCAGAGCTATGGTCTGGTTGACGCGTGGATAATTAATTTCCTTTGTGCGAGGGCCACCCTGTATTTCCGTGTGTTGGTGGGGTGTATGAGCGCGTGCTTGTGACAGCTACCCCTACAGTTATCCATCCAGATACCTATGCCCCTCGCCAACTCTACACTTATTTCCCCATAATATCCTAAACAACCATTTCAACAAAAATCTTCCGTCCGATAAATCATCAGTCAAGTCCGATGACAACACCAATGCATCCTACACTCAAACTTTTCTTCATGGAAGATAATTTTTTTTTTCACGGCGTGCCTCAATGCCGCTGTAAATGAATTTCGAAGATAAATTTGGCATTTGCCAAATCAGTGGAGACTATCGTGGGGGCTGACAAGGACAGGAGAGACCGCGATTATCGGAAACGAGCTGAAAACTTTGGATTCGCTGGAGGAACGCTCAAGATACCAGGGCTATCTCAAGAAGAGTGCAGTGACGATCGATGCGAGACGAGACTCGAAGCAACTCTCCCATTCGTTCCCTCTTCATCTTCCCGGTTCCACCCACGTTTATATCATTCAATGCCTCTCATACGTGGTGACGTCCTCTCACCCGCTTAACCTCTTCCTCTTCTTGCTCCTCCTTTTCCCCCAAGTCTATATACAACTCTCACACACAGATATATTCCACTCGGTTCCACTCAACTTTAAGCCATTACATTTTTTATTTTCTCTGTCCCCCAGTTTTTTTGTCATTATATCTCAGTTCATTTTATTTACTCATTTTTTATGGAGTATTTACGTGGGCCATGGTTTGCAATCCTTACGGTCGGGGATTTTGATCCAAAGACATCTTTTTCTCTCGTTGTAGAGTGTCTCAGGATCTTCAATGGTAGATTTTTAATGGATGGCCTTTGATGTTGAGCGGAAATGTGAGGAATGGATGAAAAAAGTTTCTTCGCATCGGCCAATGCTCTCGCATTCGGACGGATGACCCCTCAAGATTTCCCTCTTTTTGGATTCCCCATTGGAAAAATGAAAGATGATGTCAAAAATTGTGAGGGTAGACAGGAAAAAAAAAACACCGAGATGGAAAAAT